GCGTTTTACCTTCAATTAGCATCTCTCTTAATGACGATCACCGATCTACACGCGCGCTCGCGTGACACGCACCAACATATAGATCCTGCTTCGCGTTCACCGTACTCTCGCGTATGCATGCGCGTATATACCCTGTCCATGGTACGTTTCGCGCGACGCATACGTTCTCACAGAGATACAGTCGGTACGGTGTAAGGGAGAAAGCTCGAAACAACGCGCGCGCGCTCGCGCGCGAGTGAGCGAGAGAGAGAGAGAGAGAGAGAGAGAGAGGAACGGACGAATGAGAGGCCCGGAGAGAGGAAAGCTCGACGGAAAAGGACAGAGGGGATCTATAAAAAAGTCCTTTCCCCTACTCACCGTATCCTTACCCCGCTAGCGACGTTCGCCCCTCGAAAACGCGTAACGAATGCAACGTGCACCCTGCACTCCCGCTCTCCCCTTTCCACGCTGTTGCTCGGTATTTCTCTTCGATTCCCCTCCATTTTCATCCCCACTTTGGTCGCGAGATCTTTATTTTTATCGTCGACCGGTTGGAAGGTACGTGGCGTAACCTCACCACGCCCCTATCGTTTCCCCCCTATCGTTTCCATCCCGCCAATCGGTCGGCTAGCGACCGGCCATTTTGGTCCATGCGGAGGCTGCGCGTTTACTTGCCGTCTTTGTCTTTTGCTTCCCACCGTCAGCTTCGTGTGTATGAGTGTTCCGTGGAAGGATGCTGCGCGCGAGTGCGTTTCGTGGAGGCGATACGCGTGCACCAGTGGTGGGGCGTGGAACGAACAGGGCGAACAGCGGGACCGAGTTCGCTCAGTATTTGGCGAAATTTTTCCCGAATTTGGGGACGGTGAACTAGCTGCGGCCGTTTAAACCATATCGTTCAACGCGCGACGTTCCGATAGCTGCCGGTCGCGGTAAGGTCGTTCGGTTTGCCGCGGTTCGCGAAGCCCAGACGTCGCGTCGTTTCGAGGTCGTGCGCTCGCTTGGATTTCGAGGTAGACCGAATCCTTCGACGATGGTGGGGAGCGAAGGAAAGTAGTAGGAGGAGGTCGCTGCGAAGGTATCGCTTCTCCCTCTTTCATATCAAACTACAAAAATATATACGAGTTTTCTTATTGCGTGTCGAAGATAAGTGCCGGTTGCCCGACGATTACCTAACGAAACGAACACGTCGCTCAGGGTTGCGCGAGCCAAGTTATTTCCCAGTGACTGACAGATGACATTCGCAAAATTCTAGCTGGTCGCAGAGAATCGTCGGGTATCTGGAGGTGTCGATAGTCCGGTAACGCTTGGTCGGAAATACTCGACGCGACACCGGGCGGCGGAAAGCTTTTTTTTATGTCCGCGCTGAACATTCTGCCAGCAGGACTCGCGCGCTTCCTTTTCCTCGTTACGTGGAACGCGTAATACGATCGCTGTTAAAATTCTCGGCGAGTGTTGCATCAAACCAAATCGTGGATCGAAGGTCGGAGGGGGGTAAGAGGAGCGAGCAGGAGGACGGACCACGAGTCCGTACACACCTATTTAATTCTTTCTTCTCTGTCTGCTCTCCGTCCAGACTCGACCAACGTGATATCGCGTCGGTGT